AAATTTTCTTTTCAATTGTGGTTTTTAATAGTGGCTGTCCTAAGACTTTGTCATCCACAGACAATTGTCTTATTTTGATCCTCTTCAAAAGATGGTTTATAATCAGCTATAGGACTTTGACAGGTGCTCTTAAGTGCACATTTCTAATAACTTTGGATATTGTAACATGAGAGTAGAAGAAAAAACTTTCAGGACTCTCATGGAGAGCTCAAATGTTCATGAATATCAAGCAGAACAGGAGTTAATTGCATAGACTGAACTAATAGAAGACTGAAGTAATCTTTTTGACTTTTTTGCTTAAAATATTGCTGATACTTTGTTTTTCAGAGCCAAGAAAACTTTCAAGCTACTTATAGCTTTTAACAATTGAGTAAAGTCTATTCCTGTAAACAAAATTTGGAGCATATTTATTTATCTGTACCTGATTTCTCCAGAATTGGAAATTATTTGCGAGCATTCTTAACTTATGGCAATATAGTTATTTGCATAAGTGCAATAAGTATCTGTTTTCTTTTGTAATAGGACACAATTGGATACACTGGTTACCTTACCAACGTTTTGACTGGAATGGCATGCTTTCTTTTAAGGAATCAAATTTGACTTACAAAGCCAATAAAAGCCTCTTGGGAAACTGCCCTCACCTCATACCTTGTCTATATAGTACCTGTATAGAGTTCCGGACTTGTGATAAGTAAAGAATGTCAGTTTTTGACAGGCCCAGGAACCCCAGATTATCTTGTGACTTCAAGAGAAGAGGAACTTACCCAACTCATAGGTATTTGACAGCACAACCCCATGGCTGGGTTGGGCTTTTAAAAAAAGTCTTATCTAAGATTTCTTTGATGGAATAAAAGTTCCATCAAAACCAATTAAAATAAGCATATGTGGCAAATAATTCTTCTTGCTGCACTTTATACAAATAATCAGGCCAAGTATAATAAGGCAAATCGGTTTACCATAATTTGTATTTAGTAAAAATGGGAGACTGAAGAGAGAAAAACTATGTTTCAAGAACTATGGTACAATTGTTATTAGATTCTAACCTCATCAGTTCTTTTTGAGAATTTTTTTCCCCTGAAATTTAGACTGACTGCTTATTCCTGTGAACCAATCAGTGATCTCTGGTTGCTGCTCAAATGAAACAAGGGGGATGGATAATGTAAAAATCTAGATCAATATTCTAATTCTGGGCATATACTGGAATCAGGTAGTGACACTATATCAGCTTGGTTTCAAATTGCCCAGTTCATGGAAAGATTTTTTATCTAGTTTACTTGGGATAATTTTGCTTATTTTGCTTTACTGTTGTGGAATATATTGCTGCTGTACTCTCCATGTAAGAATTCAGGATAAGTTTACTCAATGTTATCTTAAAGCAAACACTTATTAATCTTCCAGATATCGCCTTTTGTCAGAGTTATGGATGGCCCTCACCATACTGATGCTTTCTGACTGAGCTCCTCTCTACCCCAAATACAAGAGATCCTAGTAGTTAGGCAGGAATATCATCACCCCTATTCAGCCTGAAGAAGCTATAGATGGATCTTTGTTCCTCTACAACGCTTAGCATTAAGGGTTCTCTTATAAAAGGGAGGTGGGAAATATATCAGAGGCGTTTGAACCAGAGCAATTCCATCTTGAATAGGGGCTAGGTAAAATAAGGCTGAGACTTACTGAGCTGCATTCCTAGGAGGTTAGGCATTCTAAGCCACAGGATGAGACAGGAGGTCGGCACAAGGTACAGATCATAAAGATGTGATAAACAAGCTGGTCAAATTGCATCAAAACCAATGTGGCCAAGAAAGTGACCTCTGGTCGTCCTCAGCACTCATTATATGCTAATTATAATGCATTAGTATGCTAAAAGACACTCCCATCAGCACCATGACAGTTTGCAAATGCCAAGGCAAAGTCAGGAGGTAATCCTATATGGTCTGGAAAGGGGAGGAGCCCTCAGTCCTGGAAATTGCCCACCCCCTTCCCAGAAAACTCATAAATAATCCAACCCTTGTTTAATATATAATCAAGAAATAACTATCCTTGGTGGAGCAGCCTAAGCTGCTGCTCTGCCTAAGGAGTAGCCATTCTTTATTCCTTTACTTTCCTAATAAACTTGGTTTTCACTTAAAAGAAAAATAAGTGGCCGGGTGCAGTGGCTCACTCCTGTAATCCCAGCACTTTGGGAGGCCGAGGCGGGCGGATCACCTGAGCTTGGGAGTTCAAGACTAGCCTGATCAACACAGTAAAACCCCGTCTCTACTAAAAATACAAAATTATCTGGGTGTGGCAGTGTGCAGCCTGTAGTCCCAGCTACTTGGGAGGCTGAGGCAGGAGAATTGCTTGAACTCGGGAGGCGGACATTGCAGTGAGCCCAGATCGCGCCACTGCACTCCAGCCTGGGCAGCAGAGCAAGACTCTATCACAAAAAAAAAAGGAGAAAACCGCTAAATTTGTGGTTATTAGTTTCACAGTGATAGAAAATGAATACAGCAAGAAATACCATGTTTTTATTTCATTTAAATCAAATCTTATACAATGCCGAATCCTCATACTGTAGGCTTGGCACGATATTCAATCCCTTACACTACTGAGGCCCTTTCCTCTTCCAGTAACAGGATCTCCTTTTCCCAGGATGGTCCTTTTCCCAGGCATGGTCCTAAGATTGTCCTCAGTCTTTACTACCCAAACTCCCCTGAGGCAAAGGAGCATAAAAGTCTGGTTTTCTACCTGAAGTTGGGAGACAAACAAAACATACATTAACATCTCAATACATTATCTTGACACTAGTAAGTTGGCTGTATCCCATAAAGGGTATCTTACTTCCCTTTCTGGTGTCTTGGCACTTCCCAGAAGCTGAGTCACTGATGGTCTGATACCTGGGTCTGCCCCAAGGTGGTAACCTCACCTGCAAGTTTCCTCAGGCTTCTGAAGGTCATTGTTCACAAACCTGGATATTGGGTGAATTTCTTGCTTCCCATAGAGAAAAATGACCCTCCTTTCTCAATTCTGTGTCCTGCCTGGATGGAAGCTTTCTTTGATTCTACCATGGACTTGCAGGGGATTTTCTTCATAAGGAGCAGAGATGGAGCAGGAGACCATTTAGGTCTTTGGCAATATTCTATGTAAGAGATGATGGGGGCTTGAACTAGGGCAGAAGTAGTAGGCAAGATAAATGTTTGGGTTTTGAATACTTTGAAGGGTAAAGCCAATAATCTGATATGGGGTGTTAAAAAGGAAGCCCAAAATAAGTAGGCTCACATCAACCTTAAAGGAAGGAGACGAGGCAAAATTAATATAGAGAGTTTATTTGGGCCAAGGTTGAGGACTGCAGCCTAGGACATATTTCCAGGTTGCCGTGGAGAGTGCTATGGAGAAACAAATGGGCTGGAGTTTTTAAAGAAAAGAGAATGAATCAGCAGAGGGGGGCATTACAAAAGTTATTTCTCAGGAAATGTCATTTATTTGCAAAAATAACATTGGTTAGTGATTGGCTATACATGTGGTTGAACTATAGGGTATATGGCATTTTATGGCTACTTGGTGTCAGTCTAGGGCTTGCATAGCAAGTGGCTTCAAGAGCTAATTATTTAGCTCAAGGGAAAGTGAGACATGACTGCTTGCATTCCTTAGATAAAAAGTTTTTTTTTCCTTATCATCTGTCATCTCATACCACACAACTGGGAGTCGAGGGACCTTACATGACTTGAGCACATTTCGCCTCTTGAAATTAAAGATGAGCAGCTTCCTTTCGTTTAAAGATAAGTCACATGAGAATTTAATTTTGGCAGTTAAAGAATTGGTTCCCCAACCTAAATCTGCAGCCAAGATGAATTTTCTGATTCACCTCCTTCCCTACAGTTTCTGGGTTTTGTTTATCCTCCAATTCCAAATGGCATAATTGCTTTCTTTCTCCCACTCTACACCCATCACCAGCCGGGTGTTTCAGCTTTTTCTCTCTCTCAAATAGGATGCTCCAAAGGAAAAGAGAGGTGCTATTTCTGAGGGAAAAGAATGTAGGATAGTTGAAAACAACAGCACGGTATTTTCTTCACAAACTTGATTTTAAGATGACTGAAAAATCTAAAAGTGAAATAAACATTTTAAGAACTACAGTATTTGCTCTATTACTCTGTGTTGTCTACTTTGCTTCACATTTAAGCTATTACAACTAGAGTTAAGACAATTGTGATTCCTAAACTTAATTCACATGATTGATGAAAACCAAGCTTAATTCTCTGTTTAAATGTTGTGTACTGCTGGAAGTAACACATAGCATTAATAAATAAAAGGAATTCGACACCCATCTTGGGTAAAAAGCATTTCTGCCTTCATTCTAACATAGATTTCATTTTGGCTTTTAAAAAACAGCTACTGTGCTATACAGCCGTATCCGGTAGTTGTAAATACTGGGCAATGTTACCTTACTAGGGCTTGTTTCCTCATACATAAAACCTATTGGTACCCCAGGCCAGCTCTCCTATTGCTTCCTGATCCGGGACAATCTAAAAACCTAATTTAAGAAATATTTGGTGTCCAGTGTAAAATAGTGTGCTTGATGTCTTATTAGCACAAGCCATAGAAGAGCAGGAAATTCATATAATGAAACGGACCAGCTGTGAGTAGTTTCCAGTGGATATAACCTCTCCTTTGTTGGCCTTTAAATAATAAGTACATCAGCTGCTGCAACTGCGATGCATGCACTGTGGAAATCCTGCATATTCTTAAACTGCCATCCCAAGGCAGAAAATGCAGAATTCCTTTTTATTTTGACCTTTAAAGGGGTTAAATTCGGGCGTGGTACTGGGGTGCTCTCGGGGAGGTTTCCCTTACCTCTCCCGGTGAGGCTACTTAACCTCACCAGCACTCCAACGCTGCCCACACTTTCCTACCCCGTCCCACTGGGCACGGGCCAATCGGCTCGTTCCTTCCCAGCGGCAGGGTGGAACCTCGAGCCTGGACTTCGGAGACCCGCCCCCTGTACGTGGCGTGCGTGCATGGCGCTACGCGACGCGGGCCGGTTTCTCCAGCGTGTGGCGCCCCCTGGCGGTAGCCGGGCTTCGATGGCACGGCCTGACCGGAGTGTCCGCCATGGAGTCGCAGAAAGAGGCGCGAATACTCCAGGAGCCCGTGGCGCGGCCTCCTGGGGCCTCAAGGTCTCAGACGCCGAACGCCAAAGAGCGGCAGGAGGGCGGCCCAGTGCCGGCGGCGGCTGCCCTGGGTGCAGAGGCGGACGACGACAGTGCGGACGGGCTGTGGGAGCTGCCGGTGGAGCCGGCCAAACGGAGGCCCGAATGCAGCCGCTGCAGGTGACCGCGGGGCCGGGGGCGGGGACTGCAGCTGGCAGCGGCCTTTGGAGGAGGCTGCGGCGCCCCCTGCCGGGGTATCGGCGGCTCGGGCAGCTCTGCGCTTAGGTTGGCGGAGTTGGCGGCTGCACGTTGGAAATCTCGGAAATGCCGGGCACAGCTACCTAGTAAGAAGCCCTTTTTCCAGGTTCATGATTATTTAACCTTACTTCCTGCAATATATTGAGCGTGTCATGGGATGAGCAGACATCATTTCTGTTTCCAAGAAACTTAAGCGTCCGATAGGGAAATAAGGGGTGATGACAATAATACTTGTAGTATAGTTACACAGTCATACTTAAGTGGCATAGTCGTATCACAGTTAAAACACATAAAGTGGATTGAAGGAGAGAGACAGTCTCCTTTGCCTATCCTACCAGAACTCTAAATATAGGGCCTTTTCAGGTCTTCATTCTAGGCTCTCTTCTAACCCTACAGACGTCCCACTGGTAATTTTTAAAATCAGTTTTCATGGTAATTTATCATCTCTATCCCAATGTGTCTCAGACCTTTATTCTGAGCACAAGGTCTGTGCATTAATTTATCAGGTGTTTATTGAGTGCTTTGATAATCACTGACAATGCAATGGAGTCCGTGTCTTTATGTATTATTCTCTTACTGAATACGGATAATAAACCAGCAAACAAGCTATCCAATATGTAATTACAAACTGGGAAAAAAACAATGAAGGAAAGGAATGGGATGCTCTTATAAAAAATAGCTAGATGGTGTCGTGAACTATCTCTGAGATTTGAAAGATGAGAAGATTCCAGCCTGGGGAAAAGCATTCCAAGAAGGGGAACAGAAGGACTGAATATGGTTGAAGGTCTTTACTGCTTGAGTACTTGGAGTTTGTTACTTTGGACATTTTGACCTTTTCCTAGGGCTCTATTGTAAGACTTAAGAGGAAAGGATCTTAAATATAGAATGTTTTTATATTTTCTAAATATACTATGTATAGTTGACCTCTGAGGAGGATGGAAAATTTGTGATTAGAAGGGACTGTGAATTTGAACATAGGGGTTTGTGAATGTAATTAATTTAAACAAGTTGTCTCAGGGGGTTAGGGGAAACATTTAAAAGTGTTTGGAGGAGTCTCAATAGGATACAGAAAGAAAAGTGTTTCAAATATAAATCAAAGGCTAAATTACTGTGCTAGCTGTATTATGTAGTTTTTAGTCTGTTCAGAATTGTTAATTATAAATATATAGTTAAAAATCTGTTTAGCAGAGATTTATTTTATGATGCTTTCTAAAAAATAAAAATGACTTGCTGAATTTTGTCTTTTTTTCAGTTACATTTAGTTAATACTTTAGGATTACAATTTTTCCCAACATTTCTGCACTTCGCTTATTTCTGGTGAAATTTGCTACCTGTGAAAAGCTCTCCTCCCTCTTGGCATGCTATGCATTTTATTTGCTTTAATTAGGTAGAATATAATTCTAGAATTATGGAGAATATTTAGGTGTTGTCAATAAGACAGAAATGAATTGATGGCTTTTTATTTTTTATTTCAGTAGGTTATTAGAGTTCTACTAGTACCCTGCATGAACTTCTTTACATTTATGCTTAAAATAGTTTTAAAAATGCATTCTTAGATTTGATTGATCATTGAGTCACAGTTATTTGACTATTTACTTAAACTATATTCATTTCTCTGAACACATTACTACAAATGTCATAGCCTAAGGGAGTTCCAGAAATTAGGTTTGTTCAGGAAGTGCAAACTCAGTTTAACTTTTCAGCAGAATCTTGCTTGTTAGAAATATAACATATCTTCAATATGAATGGAATATTCTTTAAAAGATCCCAAACTTGTAGTTTATTATTGCAGGATATAGGTTCTATAAATGTATTCTGTCCTCTATGTATATCTTGTTTACAAAACCTGCCTGTATTCCATTTACCTCTTAGAATACCTTTCCTATCCCCCATTCCTGAACATATAACATTATTTTTTTTTTCAGATAAAGACAAAGCCTTGGTTGATCTCCCCAGAGTATGTATCATTAGCGTTATTTGAGATAAAATAAGAAGGATGAGGGTCATGGGACATAGTAGGTGCACAAAAGATTTGTTGAACTACTTGGTAAAATTCAGTTGTTCAACAAATATTTTTGGAGACCCTACTTCCAGACAGTGTGATAGACTATGAAATACAAAGATGAAAAAGAGATGACTTCAGTTCTCCTGTAGATCAGGACCTAGTGGAAAGTGGCATATCTATTTAAATGGGGAGCCCTCAGATTAAAAATCCGATGATGTAGGGCAGCTTTTTCAAATTATAGGTAATGAACCACAGTGAAACTTTTGTTATATGCATCCTTGTACGTAGTAGAGAATGTATTCAAAAAGAGTTTGACAAACATCAAATTTTTGAGGCTCTGAAGAAAACAGCAAAAAGTGTTTTCTGAATTTTTCAAAGTAAAAGCATTTGTAAAATAACTTTGTTCAGGTTAAAATCATTTTGCTAATTTAAACATCTTATTTAAATTATATGACCTCAGATTGGAAAGATTTAAACACTTTTTATATGTGTTTGATATCCTTCGGCAGTCTTCGAAATTAGGCCGTCATGGAGTAAGAGTCAAAAGGCGAAAGGGTGCATGTTCACCAAGTAGTGCTTCTGAGATTTTACTAGAGTCTTTAATTTTGTTAGGAAATAAAATGTAATGTTCGTGTGTATATGTATGTATATATGTGTATATATGTAAAATGCACGTAAGCATGTGGTCTTTTTCTTGTTGAATTCTACACTATCAGCTTCTTTCTTAGATGTGTATATGTGAGGTGTTATAGGAACATATAAAAAGGTGCTCCTAACCCTAAGTTTGTGTGGTGGAGATGAGGAAAAGATCTGGGAAATCTTAGAAGTGACATGTAAGCTGAGACTGAAGGACATAACAAAATATTTAACCTGGATTCTAATATTTAGGATTAATTAGGGAAGAGACTGGCTGGGGGAGGGCTTGAGGGAGGAAAAAGTGAGCTCTGGTTGAGGGAACAGTATGTATGAGAGTTTAGGGCATAGAATGTATAGTGTATTTGGAGAGTTTGGGAGAAGGGATGGAGTGGTGAAAGACAAGGCTGCAGAGATTAGTAGTGGTTGCCTCAGAAAGGGCAAAATAAACTATGTCAGGGAGTTTGGGCCTAATGCTCTATAACCCAACAAGCCAGCCACAGTAATATTTTTATATTTGAAAGGTGGTGACAAATTTGACTTTTGTAGGGGACTTTTGCTGTATAATTTATACTTTTTCATTTTATAAAAAAAGCAACTGGATGGTGATAAAAGGATACAAGCTTGACTGGGAAGAATTAGGGCCTCATTCCAGAAATATTTTAGGCATCTTAATTGTACTTTTGTATCTTCTGCAGATACTGCTATGCATTTGAGGATGAGTCATAAACGACTTGCAAATCATTGGTCATAGGAATAATAGAATACTGTCTAAAAACAGTGTGTTTTAATTCCCGTTTAAGGGAAGAAACAGCAGGGAGAGCATGCACACAAACTGAATCAGATAGACCCTGAGATGGAAGTTTTTGTGTCTCGAGTGTTTTCTTTTCAAAAGTAACAAGCTGTAAGAATTATAATAAACCATTTCTACATGTTTAACACCCTTTTGCTAAACATCAGCCATCTACCAGGCACATACTAGGCCTAGGCATTTTATATATGATAATATTTTATTTAGTTCTTGTTTAGATTGCTGCTGCTTTTTTTTTTTTTTTTTTTGAAACAGAGTCTTGCTCTGTCACCCAGGGTGGATTGCAGTAGTGCAATCTCGGCTCACTGTAACCTCAAACTCCCAGGATCAAGCCATCCTCCCCACCCAGCCTCCCAAGTAGCTGGGACTACAGGTGCCCGCCACCATGCCTGGCTAAGTTTTTTTTTTTTAAGACGGAGTTTTGCTCTTGTTTCCCAGACTGCAGTGCAATGGCGTGATCTCAGCTCACTGTAACCCGTGTCTCCCAGGTTCAAGCGATTCTCCTGCCTCAGCCTCCTGAGTAGCTGGGATTGCAGGCATGCACCACCATGCCTGACTAATTTTGTATTTTTAGTAGAGATGGGGTTTTTCCATGTTGGTCAGGCTGGTCTCGAACTTCTGACCTCAGGTGACCCGCCTGCCTTGGCCTCTCCAAGTGCTGGTATTACAGGCGTAAGCCACCGCGCCCAGTCTAGGTTTTGTATTTTTAGTAGAAGCAGGGTTTCCACCCTGTTGGTCAGGCTGGTATCGAACTCCTGACCTCAGGTCATCAGCCTGCCTTAGCTTCCCAAAGTACTGGGATTATAGGTGAGAGCCACTGTGCCTGGCTACTGTTTGCTTTTAAATGATGAGGAAATAGAGGTAGCAGGCAAGTAGCAGAATTGGTTCTCTAGCTCCAGTCCACTCGGCTCCCTAGCTCATGCAAGTACTTGATCTCACTCCAGGCTCCTTGCTGAAGAAGCGTTAAAATTTTGTTTGTACAGTAGGTATTGTCACCAGTTGAAATGGCATCACTAACACTGCAAGATTTTCAGGCTTTTTAAGTTAGTAACAGGATGCCGAGTTTTAGTATTTTCTCTGGCTTTTTAATTCCATATATCATAACCTTTTCCTTATTCTTTAGGCTTGGATATTCTGGAGGAAAAAGTGATGGGGGGAACATCATAAGAGAGAAAGATAAAGTCAGGGAAGGAGAGAGAGAAGGGAAGACTGCAGGTGTTTAAGAAGAATGCACGAGCCACAAACTGGCAGTCTACAGATGTTTTGTTTTGAACTGTGTTTTATCAGCTTTTAAATTAGTTGCTGATAGTTCAAAATCAAGATGTTTTATATAAAAATTCAGATTTCTGGCTTTCGTTGACAGTGGAAAGATCTGACAGCTTCAGAGACCACCTTCCTGAGCAGTATTTGGTTAAGCTCAGTATTATTGGCTGTGCCCTTATATTGGGCATGATCTCTCCAGGTCACCATAGC